AATCTACATATTATTTCTTATTTTGTAATAGGGAATATTTTGTGCTATAGAAATAAACTTGTTACCAAATATCAACATAGAAAGCCAAATTTGACATGGCTTTAGGTAACACAATAAATCTTCAGTGTTATGATTCCTTCAATCTTTTTGCGAGAACTTGTTAAAACATGGAGACGTTGCGATTGTGATTCTTAATGTAGATTATAATGCTCTTATGTAGAGATAAAAACCTTTTTAACTAGTATTCAATTTTGTTAGCCAGAAGATTCTAAAAATCACTTATATTTTTTAGATTCAATTTAATTAGTGACTATTGATACGCATAAATCTCATTACCCTGTTAACCTTATATTTTATGGGTGACCATTCAATATTATTTTACATAAGATTGACATATTTATCTTCCTTCATACTTTTTAAGAAGAAAATGATCATGCTGACATTTTATCTAAATTGAGAACTAATCAATTAGATATTTGGATGGTTATCTATGAATTCTCCCTTATATTTCATAAATATTTGTGTATTTTAAACTAATTTTTTTGATTTAAGTATAATTTTAATTTTCCTATTTTATTTGATTTACGAAATTGATCTTTCTATTTTAAATTTTAGTAATTCTAACTCTTCTCTTATTTTTTAATTTAAAATTAGCGATGCTTTTATTATTTAAATGACAAATTTCTTGTGAAACATAATAAATCATCGTATATAGATCTATTGCGAGACTTTATATATAAAAATATAAGTTAAGAAACGAATATCATATTGATTTTTTTTATGAAAATCGTAAGCACTACGCCAGAAATGAGTTTTAGCAGCGCACCCTTTAGCAACGCTTCTTAAAAAGCGCTGCTAAAGGGTGGGTAAAAAAAAAAGAAAAAAAATTTCCCACCTAAGACAGCGCTTTTGAAAAAGCGCTGCTAAAGGGGGCTCTAAGAAAGCGCTTTTAAAAAGCGCTGCTAAAGGGGACCTAAGAAAGCGCTTTTAAAAACCGCTGCTAAAGATGTCCCCCTTTAGCAGCGCTTATTCTATAAAGCGCTGCTATATGACATTGCTAAGGCACCTTAAGAAAGCGCTGCTAAAGACATTTAAAAGCGTTGCTAAAGGGGGACCTAGAGGGGGACATAAGAAAGCGCTTTTAAAAAGCGCTGCTAAAGGGGGCCCTTTAGCAGCGTTTTTTCTATAAAGCGCTGCTATATGGCATTGCTAAGGCACCCTAAGAAAGCGCTTTTAAAAGCGCTGCTAAAGGCCATTAAAAGCGCTGCTATAGGTATTAGTATTATAATTTTTAAATACCCTACAGAATTTTAAGAGAAACAGAACAGTCGCGTACATTTCTTTTCTTCTGTCTTTCTCCTCTGGCGAACGAACTTGCCCTATTCAAGTGCCGTCATCCGCCGTCCGACCGTCGTCCGCTGTCCGTTCACCGTCCGTTCTCCATCCGTTTTCGAGTGCATCCGTCCGTCTGCATTGCATTTCCACCATTGTTAAGGTATGTGACAGTTTCAAGGGATTTTCTTGTTTTTTTTTCTTTTCACCATTGTTGGTATTTGAAGACATTAAAGGTTTTGAAGGTTTTTGTTAATACTGTTATCTAAATATTGATGGTTTTTCTTTTCACTATTGTTGGTATTTGATGGTTTTTCTAAATATTTGTTTTCACCATTGTTGGTATACTATTGTTTTTGTTGTTGGTATACTATTGTTTTTGTTATCTAAATATTGATGGTTTTTCTTTTCACCATTGTTGGTATACTATTGTTTTTGTTGTTGTGTAGATATGTTTCTTTTGAGGACATGCAAGTAAATTTTAGTGTTGATAACGTATACTGTTGTTGAGTAATTATTTTTGTTGTTGCGTTCAAGTATGATACGTATATTGTTGTTTTGTATTGAAGGTTTGAGGACATGCATGCAAGTAAATTTTAGTGTTGTTGTTGTGTAGAAATGACTTATTGAAGGTTTAGTGAAGGTTTTATATGTTGATATGTTATTATGTTATTATGATGGATTTCTCAATGTTTATATGATATATATGTTATTATGGTTTTATATGTTTAGTTAGGATTTCTCAATGTTTAGTAAGGGTGTCATTTTGGTTTAAGGATTATCTAGTAATTTTAATATGATTTGTTTTGGTGGATTATCTAGTATTTTTAATATGATTTGTCTTGGTTAATTATTAATATGATTTTAATAAAATTTATATTTTGTCTGCTATAGGGGTTATCTGTGAAGAGCAAAGCTGTGATCTTTTCCAAGCATCCTATTGCGTAGCATTCTTAGAAGTTAGTGATTTCCTTACAGGTATTCTCTGTTTTGTTTAACTTTTATAGTTTAGTGTAGATTACTCAATTAGTATGGATAAAAAATGGATGCCTGGTAATCGATTGTCAAAAGAGTACGAGAATGGGGTATCGAAGTTCGTTAAGTTTGCTGTTGAACACGCCAAAGACCCCAGTAGGATCACATGTCCTTGCTTAGGATGCTGTTATGGGCGTCGAGTTGACGCCGTTCAGTTGGAATCTCATTTAATGAGATATGGAATTGACCGAAGTTACACATGTTGGACATTACATGGTGAGATAAGTAACGAGAATGTTGAACCCCGGAATAATACGACATGTGCTTCAAAGGACAATGGCAGAGATACATATGATTGTGATCGAGTCGAAGAGATTGCAGAAGCACTTGAAGAAGATCTTCAAGATTGTCCCAAGATGTTTGAGAGGTTGGTAAGCGATGCAGAGAAACCGTTGTATAAAGGTTGCACTACTTTCACAAGATTGTCCGCGGTATTAAAGTTGTACAATTTAAAGGCGGGTAATGGATGGTCGGATAAAAGTTTCACAGAGTTGTCCGCGGTATAAAAGTTTCACAGAGTTATGGGCGTCGGTGTTATGCATTCATACATCAGGTACTTCGATCCTTTTTAATTAAATAATTGAACATTTTAAAATTTGCTCGTTTAACTTAATATTCTAATGTTGATTATGTTTTTTTAGGTTCTTGTATGACAAGTTATTGGTCTTGAATGAATTAACTTAATATTCTACTGTTGTCTTATTTTATAGTGGACATTGGTTGTTGATTATATAGATTCATTGGATGGCGATACAACAAAATATGAAAATCTGAGGAATTTTGTTGATACGTAAGTGATGACATATACTGTTGTCTTTAATTATATATCTTTATTTATTATGTGACATTGTTCTAAATATGCGTTTACATTATGTTAGAGTTATACAAATATTCAGAGCACAAAGAGATGCAACGGTGCCAAAAAGTAAGGCTAACAACATCAACTGGATCAGAGTGGAGGTATATTCTCGCATGTTTCTACTTGATAAAACTATTTAAACTATATATCCGGATAAATGTTCGTTTGTTTTTTCCATTTACAGTGTCCTCGGCAGCGCAATGGTATTGACTGTGAATATTTTGTATTGCGCTTTATGAGAGAAATTATTCTTTCTAGTCAACTTGAGATTCCAGTCCTGGTATGGATCAATTCATTATATAAGTTATATGATTCATTTTGATAATTATCCGATACTTCATCTGAGTAATTAGTTTTAAACTTAAATCTTATTCGATCTGTTATATTATGTAGTATTATGATGAATTCAAGTGCGCTACTTACACGAAAGCAAAATTGGAAGAAATTAAGGAGGAATGGTGTCAATTTATTCTTGGGTTGAGAATTGTATAGAGTTATCGGATTGGAAGACTTGTAATTATATGTGAATTGAATGTATTTGTGTTGTTGTAATTCTGAGGATCGAATTTTGTTGTAACATATTTAAACAGGTTTATGTGTATATTAAAATATTTATGAACAAAGTCATGAGTTACAATGTATCCAAAGTTTTGAATTGTACATATAATGCCAAAATGTTGAAATAAAGACCTGAATTATAAACAGGTTTGTGTAATATAAGCAGGTTGTTGTAAAATATACAAAACAGGGTGAATATTTTTATAAAAAAAAATTTTAAAATCTGGGACATTAGACAGCGCTTTTACATAAAAGCGCTGCTAAAGGTCACAAATATTACGCTACAAAAGCGCTGCTATTGGTTTGGAGGGGGGGTCTAAGGCAGCACTTATAGAAAGCGCTACTAAAGGGTGGGCTATGGCAGCGCTTTGCAAATGCGCTGCTAAAGGGGGAGTCTAAGACAGCGCTTTTTGAAAGCGCTGCTAAAGGGGGGATGGTTGGGGGAATTATGCAGCGCTTACAAAAGCGCTGCTAAAGGGCTAAAAAAGCGCTGCTAAAGGTGTTGCTGAAGGGAGCTTTTAGCAGCGCTTTTTCGTTGAAAAAAAGCGCTGCCTTTACCTTTAGCAGCGCCACTTTTAGCAGCGCTTTAAAGCGCTGCTAAAGGTCTTTTTTGGCATAGTGAAGAGAAAGATCAAAATAGTTTAAATTTTTTAAAATAAGAAGATTGATTTTGTGAATTTTGATAAAATTGAAACACTAAAATAGTAATTTAACTTTTTTTTCTTCTTTTTTTTTCTTTCTTACTTTTATATAATTAAAATTTATTTTTGTTTGCTTTCTTTTATATATGTAATTTCTATTTGATTGAGTAAATATAGACACAATTATAAATAAAATAGTTTAAATAAATAATTAAATTAGAAGAAAATAATATGACACCTAGAGTCAATTATTTGACAGAATAAAACGGCTAATTTATAAAGAAATTAGTTTAAACTTTAAATAACTAAAAATAACTTTCACAAAAAGTTACATCCCTTATATATAATTAAATAATAAAAATGATTAGTTGTTCGGTTGATTAAAAAAATTACAAACAAAACTAAAGAAAAAGAACTTTGCACTAAATAAATGTAGTATTCAGTACGAGTCTTATTCATATTTTCATTCTCGGTTTAGAAAACGACACGTTGAAGCAATAAACGACAATAAAAATTCAGAGAAAACAAAACCTTGGTTAAACCCTGAAACTGAAATTTGCATACAGAGAAAGAAGATGTTTGGTAGAAACGCAATTGGATCAATTCTGAAGCGCAGCAAAGAAGCGTGTTTGATTCAGAAGCTTACAGGGAGGAGCAAAACGACGGCGTTTCCTTTCTCTCATCCGTCTATCGCCGAACAACAATCGTTCAAGCTTTTCAATCCCTCCGTTTCCACGCATTTCTTTCGAACTTTCCGATCTCATCTTGTTCCGAAGGTTTTCTTTTCTATGTTTGCATTTGTGTATATTCAATTTATCATATGTATTGTTTATTTTTAGTTGATTCAAATTTTAGAGTTGTGAATTTTATGAATGTTTGTAAATATCTCTTTAAAATTGGAGCACTTAGAATTTATTGTTTTAACAAGCTAATGTATGTTTGGTTTCACGATTGGAGCGCTTAGAATTGATTCTCGGTGTTTAGAATTGATTTTGACATGTTTGGTTGCACTTGAGTAGAATTGGTTATGCTTTTCCTAATTTATTCTACTTCAAGATAGGATTTATAACTTTTGAGTCTAAATGTGATTTTTACACTGAGTATGTGTGTTTGGTTGTTTTTGGTTCTGCGTGACGAGAATTGATTATGAATGAATTGATTTCGTATAATTGATTCTGCTTAAAAGTGAGTTGGATGTAAAGTGATTTATGTTTGGATACATTTATGTCAAAGTGAGTTGAACAATAAATTTCAGTGTAAAAATCATGTTTAAATTCAAAAGCTACAGATTCTATCTTCAAGTAGAATCAATTCGGGAGGCAGAATCAATTCTACTTTAGAAGAACCTTACACCTCAAAATCATAATCAATTATACATGTCTAAAATTGCTTTTGTCTCTTCCAAAACCTAAACCAAACATAAACTAAAATGTACTGTTCAACTCATTTTTGCAAGAATTTTTCATTTAATTCATTTTAGCCATAATCAATTTTACGAAATCAATTCACTCAGAATAAATTTTTTTCCACTGCAGAACCAAACACATGCCTATAGTCATTGAAATATACTTTTAATCTTAATCTTTCTATAGCTGTTTGTTTTGAGATTATTTGAATTGATTTTTATCTGTGAAATGTCAATGGCATTATGGGAAATTAGCTACTATGTTCATTCTGTGAATATATAGTATGTATAGTTAGTCATGTGTTCTGAGAAAACAATTATGATGCTATTAGGGTCATCATGTGCCATTCACGAGGAACTTTTCTAAGACGGTGTCTGCTGCGGCCGGACATAAGGAGGGGTTGAAGCTGCTCGTGACAGGAGGTTCTCATGCACAGAAGGCAATTGGAATATGGCTGTTTAGCTCTGCGGCATGGGTGTTTAGCATGGTGATACTTGGTGGTTTAACGAGACTTACTAGATCCGGTCTTTCAATGACTGATTGGAAATTTACGGGTGAGTTCCCTCCTTTGACAGATGAGGCATGGTTGCAAGAGTTTGAGAAATATCAGCAGTCACCTGAATACAAGCGGTAAATTGCAAACACTTGCTTCACCTCCTGAGCATATGTTGTAATCAACTTTTTTCTACACCGACAATTTTTCATGAAGTCTCTCTTCTAAACTTGATCACTATAAAAAAACAGATTAATTTACCAAATTCATTTTCTTTTTGGGATTTCTGAAATTGTGCATATGAAAAAACTTGTTTCTGATAGTTACAGTTTTAGTAATGATTATGCATTTATTACTAAAATCAATGTATTAGAAGTGAATTGAAACTCAATAGGAAATAATTGTTGTAGTTTTTACAAATGTTATAGTAATGTTTCGTTGCACACTTCTTGCAGTGTTAACAAAGGGATGAAGATCGAAGAATTCAAGTTCATATATTGGATGGAATATGGACATCGTATGTGGGGGAGGGCATTGGGATTAATGTTTGCCTTACCGTATTCATATTTTCTTCATAAAGGGTATATTACAGTGAGATTAGGACTTAGACTCTCTGTTTTGTTTGGTCTTGGTGCCGGGCAGGGTCTCATCGGCTGGTGGATGGTTAAAAGTGGTTTAGAGGTTGGAATATAAAGAAAATAATCTGATTGTTTCAAGTCCGGTTGACCACCACAGCTAGATTCTAATAGTGTTTTCCTTCCTCAGGAACCACCAACTGAATATTCTCAGCCAAGAGTAAGCCCTTATCGTCTTGCTGCCCACCTTACATCAGCATTTGCTATTTATTGCGGTCTCTTTTGGACTGCACTTTCTGTTGTTATGCCTGAGCCACCTGCCGAATCACTAACATGGGTCCGTGGGGCAGCTAAAGTGAAGAGGCTTGCGTTGCCTGTCAGCCTACTCGTTGGTCTTACTGCCGTCTCCGGTGCATTTGTTGCAGGAAATGATGCTGTATGTTAGCTTGTGCAACAATTTTGATGTCCAGTTTATTTGTTGATGAGAATGAAAGATAATCATTCTGTTTACATGTTGATTGCCAGGGACATGCATTTAATACTTTTCCAAAAATGGGCGACACATGGATCCCAGAAGACATACTTGAAATGAAACCTCTGATTCGTAATTTCTTTGAGAATACATCGACTGTACAGGTATTATTGCTGAAAAGTAAAAATTGCATTGCTTTGTTTCTTGATTTGTTTTTTGGGTTTTATTTTCAAGAATAGAGAAATTAGAACCAAGTGAATCATTTAGACATACTTTTTGAAGGTAGTAAATTCTCAATAAATTTATTATCCTTGTAATTGTGATTTTGCTGAAAAAGTTTAAATCTCAGATGTCAGCAATTAAGCCATGAGCTTTTATATTGTTACTTGTTAGACAGTTAAACTGGACTGTCATTCTGCCTATGCATGGGAATTTTTGCAACATAATTCTTTTAATACGTGTTTATTTTAACAGCTCAATCACCGGATCCTTGCTACTGCAACTCTAATTTCAGTGAGTGCCTTATGGCTGTTAACAAGGAAACTAGACATACATCCTGCAGTACGGTCTGTGATCGGAGGTGTCTTTGGCATGGCATCTCTTCAGGTTATTATTTAAATTTCAATTTTATGTAATCTGTACCATTTATCTTTGAATAGTGAATATTGTTAGGACCCTTTTGAGCTGAATACTCAAATGCCAAACCTGCTGCTCCATCTTCACTATTTCATAAAGTTTATAACATTTATCGTTAGATATGTTTTGGATATATTATAATTGGTTTGTATGATTACAGGTCACCTTGGGAATTTCAACCCTTCTTTCATATGTACCTGTTTCATTGGGTACTGCGCATCAGGCCGGAGCCTTAACGCTTTTGACGTTTATGTTACTGCTTAATCACACCGTTCGAAAGCCGTCTTTGGCGCTTCTCAAATCTCTGCCTCAGGCTGTCAAGGCTCACTAATTTTCAAGACTTGAGACAATTGTTTATTTATTTTTGAAAAGATTTAGACTGTTATTATTTCCAGTCTAAGCTTGGTGTTGAGCTCTTTGTCGTCCATTTTCGGAATCTTTTTCATTTGATTTGTACATTTGAAGCCTGAAAATTCATGATGATACAATTGATCTGTTAATAATGTCATGTACTATATTTATGTATTTGATTCTGAAAATTAGTGCATCAGATGATTATGTAATGTAAATCAATACATTTTCAAGGCACAGAAGTCTAGAATGCCTTGTTGTTTAAGGCACATAGTAAAACTTTCCAAGTTGAATATTTATTTATGATAGCATCTGTGTCAACAAGAATAGTTTGGCAATTGACTTTTCAACAATATATTAAATGGGAATCTCAAATTTGAAAATAATATTAAGAAGTTAATTAATCAATATGTGTTTATCATATTTCACTAGAGTGGTCAAATATAATAAAGTTATTGACAAAATTTAGACTTTGTCACATGATGTAAATATGGTTGTGATTCCTGTTACAAGTTTTGATTCCTAACATTCTTGCGTATTGGAAATTGGAATCTTAGATGAAAGTCAATTAATTAATAACGTTTGGTTTTAGTTAACTTATCTTGTTCCTTTATTCTTAAATTGGATGGTCTTTTTATCTTACAAGTAAACAACTTGTTTGCATAATAATGATGTATTTAACTAATATAAGACTGTGAACCATTGATTTTTTTCTTTTAGATTTTAATCCTATCTTTGGTACATATCGTTCAACACATTAATTTCAACAGCTTTATATGTATATATATTGTTCATACTTCACACCTGTCATTGAAGGAGGGAAGGAAGCAAGAATCTTAGAAACTAATGGGAGAGGAAGGAGTTATAGACAATGCTCCCTTGATTGATCACTACTCATCTTCTGGCGAAGTTTTTGTTAATGAGTCTTTCAGAAGAACAGGTAAACTAACTTCTGCTTATAATTCTATTCTATGTATGATTATGATTATTAATAATCTGTATTTTTTCTCTCAAAAGTGCTTTTGCATATAGAAGATTATTGATTAGATAAAAACAGTGGAATATAAGTTGGACTGGTTGGTGTGTGTATATAACGTAACCAATTATTTGTTCGTAACGTGATCAGGTAACGTGTGGAGCGCGGCGGCGCATATAATAACCGGAGTGATAGGAGCAGGTGTATTGTCACTATCATGGTCTGTGGCGCAATTAGGATGGATTGCAGGTCCTATCTGTATTCTAATATTTGCAGCCACTACCTTCATTTCAACATACCTTCTTTCTGATTGTTATAGATTTCAGCATCCTCAACATGGGAGCATTAGGTGCTCCTCTTACATGGATGCTGTCAATTTGTACCTTGGTTAGTCTCAAAAATTACATGATCATTCTTCCATATTATCAATTTTCGTAAACGATATTTGAATCTGCAAAATCTTAATTAAGTATCTTTGATTAAGAATATATCCTTATTATTATGATGATGATGATAATTAGGAGAAATAAAGGGAAAGGTGTGTGGAGTGTTGGTGCATGTGAGCTTATGTGGTGCTGCATGTGCCTATGTCATTACATCTGCTACCAGCATCAGGTATAAGCTATGGTTAATTTGGCTACCGTTTCTTCATGAGAAACTATCATTCATGGCTCATGTTGACATTCATGGTCTTTTCTGCAGAGCGATTTTGAAATCAAATTGTTACCATAAGGAAGGGCATGAAGCACCTTGTGAATATGGGGATGCTATGTATATGTTGCTGTTTGGACTTGTTCAGGTCATAATGTCATTCATACCAGATTTCCACAACATGGCCTTGCTTTCCGTTGTTGCAGCTATTATGTCGTTTTCATACTCATCTATTGGACTAGGACTTGGCATCACAAAAGTTATAGGTAAGGTTCATTTTGATTTATTAAGGTTCTGTTTTTAGTTATCAATTCAAGCTTTCTTCTGATCACTAAAAAAGTAATATTAGAAAGAGATTTGTTTTTGCGCTAAGTCATATTAAGATGATACATCACTAATAAACAAGTTAGTTAAGCAATTATATCAAAAGCGTTTATCATATTAGTTTTTATGCATAAGTTATTTCTATTACCAAAGATATAATAAAGTCAAACTATTTTCATATAATAAGCTATAAGCCGTTTTCATAAGCTATTCTAAAGGACTTACGGAAATATGCTGAAGACAGATTTTAGACATGTCAAAGATTGTTTTTGTAAACTCTTCCAAACAGTCTTACAAGTATTTATATCAGTAGATAAGCTTAAATATATCAATTTGAACGGGCCACAAACATAAATATTAATATTAAATTGATACAAAATAAGACTACTATTTTATAAATGTAGAAACAAAATATAATATGATACTCCCTCCGGAATGAAATATAAGTAAAAGTGGTATGTGAAAAATTGATGTATCTGTTTTAAAACAAAGATTGCATACATCAACTTTTCAAATACCCTTTTTGCTTAAATTTCATTCCGGAGGGAGAACGCTATAGGAGAACAACGGACCATCAGACTCATACATTGTTGCACTTGTAGAAAATGGAAGAGTTATGGGGAGTGTAACTGGAATACCAGCTTCAAATATTGCAGATAAGTTATGGTTAGTTTTCCAAGCACTTGGTGATATTGCTTTTGCCTATCCATTCACTTGCATCCTCCTTGAGATACAGGTAACCTTTACTTCCGCTTTATCAAATTATTACTAGTACCGATGTATCATTTCCGTGTCCGTGTCCGTGTTTGTATCAGAAGCGCACATTGACTTTTTTTGCTTTGTTTTTTTTTATTGAACAAAGGATACTTTAAAGTCTCCTCCATCAGAAAACAAGACCATGAAAAAGGCCTCCATGATTGCAATCTTCATTACAACATTCTTCTACCTTTGTTGCGCGTGTTTTGGATACGCAGCTTTTGGAAACCAAACACCTGGAAACCTCTTGACAGGTTTTGGTTTTTACGAACCTTATTGGCTCATCGACTTTGCAAATGCTTGCATTGTTCTTCATTTAGTTGGAGGATATCAGGTAATTAATAGTCCTAAATCCTAATGATCAAAGTTGACAATTCAGATTCTTCAACATGATTTTACTTTATTTTTCTCAATTCAGATTTATAGCCAACCGATATATAGTGCCGCTGATAAATGGTGTTCGAGAAGATATCCCAACAGCGGTTTTGTGAATAATTTCTTCAGATTGGAACTGCCTTTTTTACCGGCTTTTCAGCTAAACATATTTCGGATATGTTTTAGAACAGGTTATGTGATTTCCACAACTGGACTTGCAATCATGTTTCCTTACTTCAATCAAGTTCTAGGAGTGCTCGGAGCAATAGGATTTTGGCCATTGACTGTATATTTTCCAGTAGAGATGTACTTTTTACAGAATAAAGTTGAAGCTTGGTCTACAAAATGGATTCTTCTTAGGATTTTTAGCTTTGCTTGCTTTTTGATCACACTAGTGAGTCTTGTTGGATCACTTGAAGGAATCATAAGTCAGAAACTAAGCTGAAAGGTTTATACCAATACCCTTAAAGTTGATTAATTTATTTCATGTAATTAGTTAATGTTACATAAACAACTATATACACATGTAAAAAGTATATATTGTTCATTGTTTATAGTATTGAAATTTGTAAAAAAAAGTTTCATGATAATAAACAATCATGTGTGAATAACACAATGAATCATCGAATAATTGTGTCTAAATCATAGATATTGATGTAAAAATTCCAAAATATCTATAAGAAGATTCGTCAGTTTATCCATTTCTATTTAATTTGCTGAAATTGATGGAATGAATCGAAATTAAAGTTTAATGTCACTCAAGAATTTATTTGTGTAACTGACATCTTTTAAGTTTTTGCAGAAACTCCTCAACAAATTTAATAATTTTTAACTTTGATTGAAAACTTGTTGGTAATATAATGACTGCAACATTAAAAAAAGATCACTTCAGACATATTTAGACTGAACCTGATGAATGGTAGAAAATTTCTACCATGGATAAAAGCACAACTATTTTAAATGAGTGTATGAGCATGATGTTTTAAATTCATATTATGTTCAAAATAATATTTATTTGTGTTACAAACAATCTGACGCATTACATCTTAAAATTATAATTGATATTATATAATATTAGAACACAATTATTTGTTGAAGATATGATGATAATCATCTCATCATAATGATCAAAGATTATATTGGGTCTTCCTTTATCTAATAGTGTGTTTCAATATTTAGGATTTTTAATCAGAGTCTACACTTTGTTCTACATAAAAATTAGAATTAGTGTTCAAAGTCCATTATTATTGGTCTTTTTTATTAGGTTTAAGTATCTTCAAATAGACCATATTTACATCATCAACCCGTTATATAAAATCAAAACTTACAATTGATTGAAGCTTACAAAATATTTCTAACATTCTCCCCACCTTTTTAAAAATGATTCTCGGGTTGATAAATTTTGTTGATCACTAAACAAATGATCCCAAGATCAACATTTAATTAAGATTTCATCCAACAAGAATTAAATGATATTAAATCAAAACGATAGTTATATTCGTATTGATAGAACATCTTCAATGGCGTAGAAAGAGAGAAGAAATATGAACAATCAATTGCATACTCTCCTGCGATATCTAGAAAATCATAGAGTTTTTAAGCTCGAGTAACGTTCACCCTCGATAGACAACAAAGGGAACATACAGTTTACTATGCTTGAACGGAAGACAGGTGATGATTTGAAGGTGATGTGGAATACCTTTTACCGTTATTCAACAAAGGGTCCGATTGAAGTGGATGCAACGATTCAAAGATCAACCAACGATATTATAAGAATGTTACAACGTCCTGAACCACATGTTTTTAATATCATGTAATGTTAAATTTATGTAATGTTTATTTTGGAGTTAATTTATGTTGTTTTTCCATTTTCTATTATTTCTGACTATTTCTTCTTTGATCTAACATAACATATTTTGGAGATGCATCTCCGAAAATCTCAATGACTAATGAACTAAGGGGGATTACGGAGATGCATCTACAAATCAACCTTTCGTACATACGGAGATGCATCTCCAGATCAAATTTTAATAGAATAAAGGTTTCCCACCATTTTCGCCTCAATTGTGTGTAGAAAAAGTGCATCCAAAGATGCATTTCTAGACCCTAGGGATATTTTAGTCTTTTCACAGTGGTGTGGGAGAACTTCTAAGAGTTGAAAGAGCAATCCCTAAGAGAAATACATAAGAAAGAAAAATGGGTCAAACCCATATCCGGAATAGTATGCTCCGGTAATATATTATTATAATATAACTTTTAGTACTCTCCCTCAAATTGGAACGAATATATTAATTATGTCCAACTTGTTACAAATGAAATTACTATGCACTTCATTCAATACATTTGTATACAAATATGCTAATAGATCTCGTCTTAACATACAAAGTAGATATGAGACTTTCTTGAACTTTATCTCTAATAAAGTGAAAGTATACATCAATGTATTTTTTCTTTCAAGAAATATTGGATTTGATGTGATATATATGGTATACTAGTTATCACACCACTATTTCATAGAACAATTATTCATGGATCTCATCTCATTCAAGATTTGTCTTACCCATATTAATTTATAAGTAGTTTGAGCCATAACCATGTATTTTTCTTCTGGAATTGATCTTGCTAGTACATTTTGTTTCTTACATTTTCAAAATATCAAATTATCTCTGAAAAACACACAATATTATGTGGTAGACTTCAAATCCACTAGACATCCTGCTCAATCTAAATTACAAAAATCCTCCACCTGCATATGTTAATGATATTGGTACGCAGTTCTCTTTCCCAAAGCCTTCTTCTAATATTTAACAATGAGAATTAACGCTTTCCAATGATTATTAGTGGATGAAGACATAAATTGACTTACGACACTTACATGAAAAGCATTATTAGGTCTCATAACAGTTAAGTAATTTAATTTTCCACCAATCTTCTATACTTTTATGGGTCCAAGAAAGGAGCTTCATCTAGTGTCAATTGAACTCCATGATTCATAGAAGTCTCACACGGTTTGGATCCCATCATACCACTTTCACTCAATAAATCTAGAACATATTTTCTTTGTGAAAGGAAAATCTCTTCCTTTGAATACATGACTTTAATGCCCAAGAAGTACTTCAAGACTCCCAAATCTTTAGTATGGAACTTGGTTTGGAGGAAAACCTTCACTTTATCAATTCCTTTGTTATCACTTCATGTAATTACAATACCATTAACATAAACCATAAGTAAGATATTTTCATGGTTGATTTTATTAAAAAATATTGTATGATCACTCTGACATCTTTTTAGTTCAAGTGCCAAAACCATGTCACCAAATCTCCCAAACTAAGAACTAGGTGATTGTTTTAATCCATACAATGATTTATTTAAATGATACACGTGTACATGCTCTCCCTAAGAAAAAAAACCAAGTGATTGTTCCATATACACCTCTTTTTTTAATACACCATGCAAGAAGGCATTCTTCCTATCTAATTGAAACAAGGGTCGGTAGTGTTTAACATCAAGAGATATAATAATAAAATAGATGAAAGTTTAGTTACAAGGGAAAATATCGATATAGTCAACTCCGTATGTTTGTTCATATCCTTTGGAAAATCATCATTATTTTAAAAGGGACACATATCCATATGGATTCATCTTTATAGTATAAACCCACTTGAATCCAATGTCTTGCTTGCCTATAAGAAGAGAAAATAAATTTCAAGTGTCAGTATGCTCAAGAGCCTTCATTTTCTCCCTGTCTCCAACCAACTTTATTAATAGCATCTATAAGAAATTTATGAACAAAAATAGAATCTACGCCAGCAAGAAAGGATTTAGAAGTAGAGGACAAAAGACTAGAAGACACATAAGAAAAAATAGGATATGTACAAGTATGTTTACCTTTACATAAGACAATTGAAAGGAAATTTGCAGAATTTGAGGGATTACCCCTCGCAACATTTGTCATAAAAGACGAATGTTTAAGGTGGGTGTAAGGGGACAAGCAAAGAGTCAAGTCATCCAGTCAAACATGTGAGTTTATGCGAGGGGTAACCCCTCAAATAATGCAACCTTCCAATTAAGCGAGAGGTAACTTTTTAGATAATCTAAGAATAAATAATATTTGCTTTTCTTTGTAATTTATCTTCCCACTTCAATGGTACAAATGGTAACTCTTTGCATAGTAGAACTTTAATGATTTAAAATAGTAAGTTCTTAGGGATTAGGATTACCCCTCGCAAGATACAAATTTCAAATTTAAAGTTTACTCCTTAGGGTTATCCCTCAGATAACCCCTTGCATTTTAGTTTTTCATTTTTTCTATAATTTTGTATTGTGAAGGGTTTTAATCATATTTCTGATCATGCCTTGCTTTACTTGGAGACTAAAGAACATAGGAAAATTGCCAGACATTTCAAGTTTAGTAACTTATTTACTGAACTACCTGGTTATGAGGCCTTGATCAAAAAGAATTGGGAGGGTTATATTAGAGGTAGTCCAATGTATGTATTATGGAAAAAACTCAAGAGATTGAAGCATGAATTAAAAACCTTTAGCAAACCTCTATCTGATGTCAAAAATAAACTGACAGCAGCCAGAGACAACCTCAACAAAGTACAAGGACAATTGAATGAGGACATAATGAATAGCAACTTAATTGGAATGGCAAAAGATCTAATTGAGGAAGTGGTATCACTGAATGAACTTGAATGGAAGATATTGCAACAAAGGGTAAAAATCGACTGGATTAGGAAAAGAGATGGAAATAATCATTATTTCTATGCTACTATCAAAACTAAAGACCATTCCAATTGCCTTAACAACCTGAGAAGGAGTGATGGCAGACAATTAACAGCCCAAAATGACATTGAAAAGGAAGTACTGGAATTCTATAGAGACTTGATGGGCAAAAAGGATAACAATATTAGCCATATTGACATTGAAGCCATGGGGATGGGTAAACAACTTAACATGGAGAAAATGGAATACCTCACCAAAAATATAACAAAGGATGATATCACCAAAGCCCTTAGAGGAATTGGTGACCTCAAAGCACCAGGCCTGGATGGATATGGAGCCAAATTCTTCAAGGCCCAGTTGGACAACCATTAAGACTGATGTGATTGCAGCGGTTAAGGAATATTTTGAGATAGGTAAAATGTACAAACCTTTCAACAATGTTGTTGTTTCCCTGATTCCAAAAGGTAATAAGGCTTGTGAGATTAAAGATTACAGACCTGTAGCTGTTTGCACCACCTTTTATAAGATCATCTCCAAGGTCCTGACTAATAGACTAGGATCTATCCTCCCTAGTGTGATAAGCCACAATCAGGCAACTTTTATACAAGGCCAGAACATTCATAACCACATCATGCTTGCTACTGAACTTCTCAAGGGATACACTAGAAAATGGGGCACACCTAGAATTATGATGAAAATAGACCTACAAAAAGCAAA